TCTGCTCTACTTACATTGCAGTGTCCATATGAACTGTAAAACTCCTTGCATAATTATAATAAAGCAATTTATATACCAGAAACAAGTGGAGCAGTATGGCAATTGCGATACCGCTACACTTGTGAAAGTAAAATCTGTTGGGCTCCTTTTGGCATCAAGACAATTATTCTTATTGCCACCTTGCCAGACAGGACACTGTAAAAAAAAAAAAAAAAGATTAAAGAGATATCCATGAAAAAAAAAGTAACTATATCATTAAATGGAGTGTTTTTGTTAGTGAGTTTACTAACAAAAACAAAGGCGTTATATATGCAAAAAGGAAAACAACAAAGAATTAATTGTTTTGGGAGTTGTCCTGGGGCCCTAAGCAGGGCCCCGGGGCAAAGCGCATGCATTGGTTAGACCCTGAAAAGAAGCAAACTGCAAAAACAGGTGAAACATTAGGAATAATGTTAGTTAGGATAACAGGTGGCGTAAGCTTCTCTCCGACAAATTTGATGGTCCTATGCTGCCATCTAGTGGTCATTATGGGTAATATAAAATTAAAACCTTTAAGCTTTTATTTTTTCAAATGTTTCCCCCTTTCCCCATTTTTCCCCTTTTCCTTTTTGTTTTTTTTCTGCCAAAATAAGTAAAAAAGAAAAAAAAGACAAAAAAAGAAGAATAAAAAAAGGGGGGGGGGGCGGGGGCAGGGTGCGGCACAAGCTTTGGGAACAGCTTGGTCAAACACCAAGATTCATGTTTAAAAATACAATAAAAAAATACATTTTACACTTTTTTAATATTAAGCCATTTTCTTATTCCCTCTTTTATTTAGGAATAGATTACCTTAAATCAATTAGATACATGGTTTTAGAAGTATTTCACATATTGTTCACAGAAGGATCATTAATTTTAGTTTGACAGATATGCATGTGATGATGCTGCTTGTGCTGTGGTTATTATACCCAAATACATAGACATTTACATTTACAGTAAATATAATATTTGAAAAACATTTAGCAACACTCCTGCTTTTAAATTAAAGAGTTATCATTATAATTGTCTTTATGATTATTATTAGAGGTATCAGTAGTAGTGAAATTAGTTGTTGTAGTGGAATAGTTGAGGAAGAGGAGTTTATGGACAGAATAATGCTAGGTATATTTTCTTATTAGTTGTATAATTCTTCAAGCAGTTTTTGTTGGAAAGGATTACCAGGAGACAAAAGAAGATTTGCCCTTTCGAGTAAATCTTCTAATGTGAACTTCATAATAGTCTTAACTCTGTGCCTATTAGTTTGTTGTGACTTTTACATGTGCAGTTACATAAAAGAATGATGCCATTAGCTTACCTGAACTGTTTTCTAAAACCAAACTTTCCAGAATCTACCTTAAGCCAGAGCTTAGCCAACTCCACTTGACTGATTATTCGTTTTTACTGCAACACAACGACTGAGATAACAGTGATAAGGCAACGAAAATATACTGTAGAGATTCTTATATTTTTGTCAGTACCTGTGAGATGTGGAGAATAAATAACACTTGTGTGTTAAAAAAACACATCATGCATTAATTAATGCGGATTGGCGGTCTATTGGTTAGGGCATAGAGCTTGGAATCCTGAGGTTGTTAGTTTGAAACCCACTCCCACAGACTGCCACTCTGGGTCCCTGAGCAAAGACCTTTAACCCCACACTGCTCCCTGGGCGCTGCACAATGGCAGCCCACTGCTCCCCAAGGGGATTGGTTAAATGCATTTAAATGCTTTTAAAGAGTGAATTTCATTGCACTGTACTTGTGAAAATATAAAGAAAAAAAAAAAAGCTGAAAAACAAAAAAAGAAATCAAAAATGAATGCCTCCTCTATCCTAATCAAACAGCATTAATATGAAAGGTTATATGTAGATGAAATGGGTTCTGTATTTTCTTCCATTCTGTGCTCCCAATAGCAAACTAAAACTATTAGGTAATGCACGTGTAACTCAGTATTTGAAGTTATTTAAGTCTACCAGGTGAGCAGTAAAACAATTACGGACCCTAACCTGTTAAGAGGCTCTGAGTCAGTTACATAAACAACCTCTGTTTAGCAAAATGTAACAATGGAACCTGACTGGATTGCAGCGTTCTGGGTTTACCTGGAGAGTGCTGGAGCGAGCTGATCAGGCCAAAGCTAAGGGGGCGGAGAGGGATCAGGGTTAGGGGGAGATTATAACACAGGCCTATAAAGCTGTGTAATCCGCACAAATTCAGAGCGACAACTCGTCCGCAAGCAGCATCCCTGTTAACAAACTCAGTGTGTTTGAGTCACATGAACTATATAACCAGAGCAAAACTAACTGAGACTAACTGATTTTGATCAAGGCAAGAGGAGAGCAACACATCAGGAGACTGAGAGCAAAACCTTCATCATCAGCAGCAGCTGTAAGGAGCAGAAGGGGAGAATAATGAAAAAAACTAAGGTATTAAAGGCCTGTATGCTTTATATCAAAATAGAATTAGTCCTGTTTTGGATAGTAATGTCATAACTATGTATAAATCTATGAGTTTGGGGAAAGAAATGTTTTGTAAGATGAAACATAATCAGAGCTGTTTGATGATAAATCCATGTTGGTGTTTGTTGGAAAGTAGTATTTTCTGAGAATTCATATTTTTTTAGTAGAGAATAACGCTTGAATCAGTAGGAAGGGCAGGCATACTAGAGATGATATCTCCACCTTTCTCCAATGTGTGCAGCAAATATTGATCTGAATATTCAGATTCTTTAATTAATTACCTTTATTCCAATTAATATATTTTTTAAACCTTTAACTTTTATCAATCTGAAACAAATAAACAACCTGGTAGCATCAAAATATCAGTTTCTTCCTCCTGTTTTAGCTTTCCTTTAACAATAGCTTCGTGTTTTAGCTTTAACTTTTAAATCTTAATTGATGGATAATAAAACGGGTTAATAATGAAAGTAGATTTGGTTCGTTTTAATTGTGAAAATCTGAACTACATTTAGACATTACTTTACTAAGTAGGACATTTCTAACCTTGTTCAACAGTTATTCAATGTTACTTTTTGTATTAAACTGATCAAGTTTTTCTTTTGTAAATTATGTTTGAACACGGGTAGCATGTCAGATCAAACATCAATCATAAACTTGATCAGAAAACAAAGTTGTTATCCAAAAAGGCAATTTTAGAGCTTTCACTGGTTTTCTCCACTTACATAAAGGTCATTTAAACTCCTCAATCTATTCAAACATATCATATCTGCTCCATGGTCAGATTCGGTCTATATTTACCGTCTGAAACTTTTCCAGGACCGATCCAAACAGTGAACCTGAAACGAGAGCAGATGGTGTAATGCCCGGGTTTATTGATCCTGCCTTTCTCTTGTTGTTTCCAAGCAGGTGAGGGATGAGGCTGAACCTCCCAGCTACCAGGAAGCAACTGCAGGTGAAGAAGATTATTATCTTTTACCATCAATTCAAGCTGTTTTTTTTTTGTTAATGGGATGACACAAAGGTCTAACCCGATCGCTTGATGATGACAATATTCTAACGTTTTTCTCAGGGTATCCTGAGATGGAGGCCCAGTTTGCATTTGATGATAAGACCATCAGGAGGACTTTCATCAGAAAGGTGACTGAACACAGTCCAATAAAACAAATTTGAACACAGACAGGAAAACAAATCCTGAATCTGACAAAGTGAACCTCTGCCTGCAGGTTTACGCCATCCTCATGTTCCAGCTGTTTGTGACCGTCGGGGTCGTCTGCCTCTTCACCTTTTGGTAACTTGGTCCCATTTCGGCTTTGATTCATTGATGCACAACTAACAAAATCTAACCTCTGCTTTTCTTTTCAGCGAGCCTGTGAGGTTTTTTATTCAGACCAACCCCACCTTGTACATGGCATCTTAGTGAGTAAAAAAACACACACAAAAAAATCATCATATCATGATTAACGCTGCTCATTTACACATCTCATTGACATTTCTCTCACTTTCCCAGCTTCATGTTTCTTGGGACCTACATCGCACTGGGCTGCTGTGGAGACCTGAGGTTATTTCTTTCTAGATTTATGTACTTTTGTCAAATTTCAGAAGTCTTTGCATATTTAGAAAGCTGGCAGAGCATTTGCACAAAATATGTGGAAATGAATCTTGTTAGTTTCATATTTTATGCAAACCAAGAAGAAAATGGGTTCATTTAAAAACGTGCACGATGCTCCCTCTAACAGGGTTAATAAATCTTATATCTGACAAATGACACTTTACTGTCGCACAGGCAGCATTTTAATGGAGAATTTGTGTGTTTAGCAAATCAACTTCATTAGAGGCACACCTGTATGAAATATGATATGAAAGCCACTTTTACCATTTTTTTATTTAATATCTTTTATTTCAAACTGATTTATTTATATGACTATATGTCACAGAAAGACTCATGTTCATATAAGTACATAAAACATAAATTATGATGCATCATATCTGAAGAAAACTTGACATGTATTTCTATTTTTTGCTGAACAGGAGGCAGTTTCCATGGAATATCATCCTTTTAGTTCTCTTTGTGAGTATTTTCCATCCAGTACTAATAATCTTTATCTACTTTCCATTTTTTTCACCCTAACTCTGCTTCTTCTTGTTTTTTTTTTTCTCCTCAAAGACTCTGAGCATGGCCTTCATGATGGGGTTTATTTCTAGGTAATTGTCCCTTAGCATGTAGACTAGGTTTTACATATTTTCAGAAGTCTGTATGCGTGTTGTGAGAAACTGCTTCTTTTTTAACCTACTTTAAAATGTTTGCAGCTTTTACAACACAAAGTCTGTAATGCTGTGTCTGGGAATCACAGCTTTGGTTTGTCTTTCCGTCACCGTGTTCAGCTTCCAAAGCAAGGTGAGGACTCAGAAGAAACTCCATCGTCCTGCCAAAGGGCAGAGCAGAATTCATTTAGTGGAATCACTGCTTGATTTTCCCGTCTCCTATTACAGATCGATGTAACCTCCTGCCAGGGTGTGCTGTTCTCTCTGTGTATGGCCATGCTTCTTTGTGCTATCACCATCTCCATTGTCGTCCCCTTCGGATATGTAAGTTACCCATCTTTCCTTTTTTTATTTTCTCTGCAGAACCTTCTAGAAGAAGACTAAATTAGCTGAGGTTAATGATGGGTTAAACTACAGTTGCAGCTTTAAAGCCTCAGGTGCTGCAGGCTGTTTTCACTTATGCAGCAGTCAGACAGGATTGACCCAGCAGATAATCTTGTTCTCTTCTTCTTAAATTAGCACACTGCTCGCTTTCCCGACTGTGTTTGGTAATGATGTCTGTCTTGCATCACAGGTCCCCTGGTTACACGCCATCTATGCGGTGATAGGAGCCATCCTCTTCACTCTGGTAAGAGTCTGTTAAAAAACACAAACATCCACATACTTCTTTGGGGGGTACGTGATAGACAAAGTGATGCATAAATACAGTTTTATTTAGATAAAAATCAGATAATTTTACTGTATTTATAAAGCCCAAATTCAACACCTGAGAACCAGTGAAGTATTTTTAGTGTCTCTCTTTGACTTTCATATAAACTATCCATCTTTGTTTGGAAAGCAGCTTAGCAACTCTAAATAAAGATTTTAGAGTTGTGCCACAGATGGGTTTATCTGGATTATACCAACATAAACGTGTAGCTGAATGTTTTTAGTCCATCTATGTAGAACCATTGGCTTTCTTCTAGAACTTCTCTGATCAGATTCATGTTCTTTAAGGAACTTACATAGAGCCACTGCCACCATTTTATTGGGCAGTGAGGACGGTGTCTTCATGGTGATATTCAGTTAGTTTTCTGTTATGCATACTTGTAATCCAGCAACCTGTGCAAATACTTTGTTACCTTAGCTATCTATACTTTACTGGAGTAATTACTTTTTAAGACAATTTTTGCTTCTACTTTTTACATTTTTTTTTTGCAATTATCTTTACTTTCTACTCCTTACATAGAAATAGACTCTTTAGTTTTCATTTACATTATTACCTTTTTCTTTCAGACAATTAATTTCATTGTGGTTGGACTCAGTTCTGTCCCAAATTGTGCACGTTAAATTTGACACAGTTGCCGTTAATTATAAAATTAAGAAAATGAAGTACAATGAGGTTATCATCCAAAATAGTAGAACATTTTTCCTTTAATAGGTTAGTGCACTAAAGCATCTGTCATTAACAAATTTCCCTGCGTTAATTTCACTTTTATACTTTAAGTAGCTTTAAAAATTTTACTTTTACTTAGTAAAAAGCTTACCGTATGTTGATACTCTAATTTCTACAAACGTGTTTTTAAACAGTGTTTTTTTTCTACTTCTACTTGAGTAAAAAAACATTAATAACTTTGACACCTCTGCTTTGGTTTCATCTGACCAGATTACTTCCTCCACATGTTGACAATTGACAGATTCTCCCTCTTGAGCTGCAGCTCCTCTAGATTTACCATGGCCTCCTATATGTTGAACCAGGGGTGTTACAGTCCAGTCATCAAGAGCTATTCTCCTGCAACTTTTTGATGCAACCCATTTTTAAAACACTTGAATCAAATGAGTGGCTCCTTACCTCGCCTCTGCTGAGCTAAATGAGGGGATTGAGTCTTTCAATTCAGGTGTGTTAGAGAAGAGATGCATCTAGAAGTTAGAGGATGGTAGCTCTTGAGGACTGGACTTGAACACCCCTATAAACGCTCTCCTGTCCCACCCTGAAGGCTTAGGCAGATGTCTATGATTTTGTAGGTTTGTTATTTCACTATAATCTATTTTCAGATTCTGAGCTTAACAGTTCTCAGAGAGATGCTTCAGATGTTGCTTTATAAGCTAACTCTGCTTTAAATAAATGAGCTGCCTGCAGTGATGCTTGGTCTTGTGATGCTGCTTGTTTTATAGAAAGCCTCTGAGCTCATTGTAGAACACATGCTGAAAGTTTATGTACAGACTGGTGGATTATGTTTACATTTCCAAGGCAATCCGTTGAGTTGGATTTAATTCAGTTCTGATACATTTCCTCCAAGATTATTAATAAGGAACTCCTATATTGAGCAGTACAGTTTGCTTTTTACTCTAATTTCCTCCGTCTTTATCTTTTCCTCTCCCAGTTTTTGGCTTTCGACACGCAGCAGCTCCTAGGAAACAAGCGCTACACTATCAGTCCAGAGGAATATGTTTTCGCCACTCTCAGCCTCTATCTGGACATCATCTACCTGTTCAGCTTCTTGCTGCAGCTTACAGGAGGTGGCCATGAGTGAAGCATGCGTTCTGGGGTCGGATTCAGAACCTCCAGAACAACTTTGGATTCAATTCCCAGCAGTAGAGAAACAAATCGATAGTATTGGATCAGACTCTGGAGCAGGCAGGCTTATTCCCCATCCTGTCACCTGTGGGAATTTTGTTTTTTTTGTACGATACTCTCTGACCTTTGCTGTTTAGATGTTAGGGAATTGATGTGAGGGTTCACCTGCCCTTTATTTTTGAGCAGTCACCATCTGACCCATTAGAGCTGACTCTATGGGCCCCATTACTATTTAAACAACACTCAGCCAGTAATCAAGCCTGGCACTAGTCTTTTTCATCCAGCTGATTTTATTTAATCGTTACTTATGTTTTCCCTTCATAGCTTGTTTTGCATTGCAAATCACTTTAGATTGCTTGCTCAGTATTTAGCAAGCGTACAATATCTACGTATAACAATGTTTCCAGATGAACACCAACATCTTATAGAGGATTTCTTTTTAAGGAGAAACCTTCAACTTCTAAATGTTCTAAAAAGGGAAAATGTGTGTCTAACATGTTACAGTGCTTTTAATTGGTTAGAATTTTTTTTTTTAAACTTAATTCTGACTTAATATTATTGTGGCCTTTTATGTGAGATAGAAATGTATTTTTTTAGATGAAGGACTTTTTTAAGCATGAGGAGATTCTATGTAGTGAATAAAACATAAAATGCAAATATTTGTTCTACAAACGACACTGTGTACATTTTATTCTGACTCTTTGAGAAAAACTGACTTGTGAAAAACATTGTTTGCTTCATGTGAATAATAAAAAAGGGACTTTGAAACCAAAGCAGAGAGAAATTTATGTTTTTTTTTACAAATTACAAATGCAGTGGAGATGATGTTGAAGTTTTATTTCTGCCTGTACCATGCTAAAGTAAAAAGTTGTCTGTTTTCCTTATGGTGTTTCTTAGCAGATGGGTCTAAATTCTAGCTGAAATATTATTGGAAATATTATTTGTGCAATTTAAAATTTGTTAAGGAGGTTTAAAATCAATGCCTAAAACATACCCTACCCCCTCAAATGGAGCATACGAAGAACGGATAGCCTTTACTGTCATCATGAGACCATAATGACATTTGTTGATATTCGGTTTAGAATGCAGATAATAAAATGTGTAAACAGAGTAAAAAAAAATTTAAAGATTAGAAGCAACTGTGGATGATATAAATATCCCCAGAAAGAAAACATGTTCATTGAAATATTTACATAAAGTTCAATTTGTGCTAAAAAAAAGTCAATGAAATAGGCTGGTGGTTGATTTGACTTTCAGTAGAAGTGTTATGTTTGATTTGTGATCCTGTTCCCCTCTTCAAACATGTTTGAGGAGAGAAGTGTTTGTGTCCGTGTTAAGGTGAGATGGGAGCTAAGCATCAGAATACAGTTTGGCGACTGCCTTCAAAGCTTTGGGAAAGATAATGTTTCTGTTTTTTCAGGATTTAAAGAAGCTCAACTCTTTTTCTGTTGTGAGTGGGATTTCCAAGAAGGAAGGGAATGGTGGCAATGCATCGGGCCGCTTTATTTAGACTCATAAGGCATAAACAGAGTACAGATCTGGTAGACGGTATATAATCCTCTGTGCTGTTCTGAAAACTAGCACCAAGGCCTTCCTTTGCTGTGCCTGCAGCTCCCAAACCACACTCTTTCACTGAGACACAGGAGGCTTTCATCTGAGGATAAAAAAATAAATGGAATTATGTGAAACAAATAGGTCATCCTATTACAGTCTTTGTGTTTTTGTTTTCATATGCGGACACATGGATAACAATTTCAGCTATTCAGACTATTTAGAAAATATTTAAAAAGAAAAACTTTCCAAGAATAAAGAAAATCCAACACTCTTTTCTATTTTAAACTTCTAAAAATGTAAAAGTGTGAGAGAAGTCTGCCCTAATCTATGCTACAATTTCAGATGCGTCTGTTAATAAGACCGAAAACCTTGGTGAGACCCAAATATTTGTCTGAAATCTTCAGGAATGAGAGTTCAGCACGTAATGTGTCTGATGAGACGTCTAAAAGTAAAGGACATTCAAGAAGGAATCAAAGTAAGTTCACGCTGAGGGTAGATGGAGAGATGCTAAAAGAAGTTTAAAGCACTAGAATGTCTTTAAGGAAATTATAGCAGGCTATTGTTACTGTGATTATGAAAGTGCCTTCTAATTTAACCATACATTACACATGTTAAACTTTTATTGGAGGGGTGCAAAAAAGGAAAAAAAATGGGTGAGATTAAAGTTTACTAGAAGTGTACTAGAAGGCGCCCAGAAGAATTTAGACAAAAAAAACAGAACTCATGAATAAAGATTAGACTAAAAAAAGGACATTGTTTGAAATAAAACTACAGCACACCATTAAAAGAGCCTGGTATCACCTGTGAAGCATGGAGGTGGAAGTGTCATGATCGGCTAATCATGATAAAATCCACAATGAATTCTACCGTGTCTCAGAGAGCATCTGTAAAAATATCAAAGCTGAAACAGACAAGTGCTGAGTTTGAATTCAAGGGCTGCCTCCTTTGAAGGTCAGATTTGTCGCAGCTTTACTAAGCGTGGCGTAATCGGCCACAATTACACCACGCACGCTTACTTTAAATTGGAAGACTCCTCGTTTTGTTGGTGACAAATGCAGCCCTTTTTTTTTGCCAGTTTTAAGGGATGGGTCTGGTGTATTCTATGTAGGCTTGGATGTCCTGTATTAATTGCAAGTCCAAGTAAGCCGGCTGCTCCGTGATCAGAGGAAAAAGGGAAATGGTGCCAAACAGTGGTGAATATTGTAAGTGCAGTTAAATATAATACTACAGTAAGTATTTGAATGGTTCCCTCTGAAATTAATGAAAATAGTTTTATAAAATGTTTATTGAGCCAGACATATGGCAGGTAATGTTTGGTTTATCATAAGGTTTTAACTATCTCTATGTAAATGGGTTTGGCAGACATTAAAGCACAGATTCCAATATCTCTGCAGTGTGGGGACTATAAATCTGAAATTTGCGATGAAGGTACTTCTGCTGAAGCTCCTCCGAAATGTAAATAGCACCCAGAACAGTAGTGAGAAGGTCTTTATCCATTCTTTGCCTGCTTTGTGTGTCAACTGTAATAGGTGCTAGGTGACAGAGCGTACCGGCTGTGAAGGCTGGACCTGTTTGATTCCACAGTCAAAGCTCTTCCGGCCTCCTTATTTTCTCTATAAGAGCCGTGGGAAGAAGTCCTAGAAGCCCTTTTATACATCTAACAACTGAGTAAACTTATTTCTAAGAGTAGATTTACTGCATTACATGTTTTACTTTTCCCTGAATATTTGTGAAGAACACAGCAAACAATTAACATTGGACTTCTGACTCTTCCTTCTTCAAAAATAATTGTATTGTCTGTACATCATTTTTCTTTGAAGCTCAAGTGAATATATAGCATTCCTCCTACCTAGAACTTATGTTGTGAAAAAGTGTCTTTTGGAAAAATGGGCTTCTTATGATTTAAAATTTTTTCAAAGTTCAATGTTTTTAACACATAAATTATTTGCCCATAATTATCTATTTATGACCAACACTTTATTTTTAAAAATGGAGGATGGAAGTTCAACTGAAGAAACTGATTGCTCTCCTGCATCCACCTACGACACAGCCAATTAGCTTTGAACCAAACCTCCAAAGCCAATCGGCATGCAAAGCTCATTTTAAAAGGACTCCAATCCATAACTTGTCTGCTGCCTGGTGCGCAGGCGGTGGATGCGTTGTGTGACATTCAGATGACACCATTTCAACCCACCTCCAGCCCCTTCTCCACCATCGTAGCTAAAACTTCATCAGTGTTTCATTACTCCAGGACTCTTACTGGATTCTGCGTCTCATCTCAACTGGTCCGGCAGAAGACCACCATGTTGAGCCTGGTTCTGCCAGAGGTTTCTTCCCAACGGGGAGTTTTTCCTCCCCACTGTCGCTTCATGCTTGCTCATCATGGACAGGTTCTCTCAACCGGTGTTATCCACCTGGGCTTCCATCTTCCAGGTCCCTGAGTGAAGCTAGTATCAGCTCACACAATCCACTGGATCTCCCCGTTAAGCTTAGCAGACTGTCTCACTAACCAGCAGTCTACAGACTGACCAACCTTATCAAAATTCAGAGCTATGTTTCCTGTCGAGGTCTGACCACCAAAGATCAAGTAACTGTATGAATACATTTCTTGTAATTGTCTTTTCTCTTCATGTGAGTTTTTCAGATTGAACCAATAAATGACTACACATTAAATAAAAATGTTTGCACTTCTGTCTTGTTTTTACAAATTTATATATTTCTCTTGAGTAATTCTTAAAAACAAAAAAAATTGTTTCTCATTAGTAATAATACTCCACCACTCCAATACTCCACTAATTGAGTAAAATCTTTGGCTTCTCTACCCTGCCCTTTATTCATCATCTTTGATAAATGAAAACAATTCACTCCAACATCAAAACCAGATTTTTATTAAAAAAAGAGAAAAAAACAAGACAAATTCAAGGAGAAATCAAATAAAGAAGTAAAATCTTGTCTCAATCAATAATAAAAAAAAAAAATAATGAACACGTTAAAGACAGTTTAGCAACTCTGGCACAGGAAGACAAAAGTAGCCAAGTGGCATTTGCAAAATAAACCAAATAGAAAACCTATTTCCTTTAACAAAACTGTACAATGAGTTATTGTATAAATAATTAAATGTTCGCAAACAGGGAAGGTTGATGAACCCGTTGGATTTTCAGAATGCTTAACTAAAGTTGGCGAGTTCACTAATATTTCCTTGACTTGCACTTTCGTCAATAAAAAAAGTGCACTGAGCACATCTCAGTTGATCTAATTGGATATAAAGCTAACACTATTTTTACAAGGGGGGAATAAAATCTTAACTGTTTGCTATAAATCACTCAAAACAACAATTCATACCCAAAACATGTTTCCATCATGTTACCATAGCAGCTCCAATGTGACAAAAACAAACATTTGCTTTAGAGCAGACATTTTGTTCTTTTTGTCTTCACCCTGGTTTATCCTGGACCCCTCAAAGAGGAGACGGCAAAAAATTGGGCCCTTGATTCTAAACAATAGTGAATTCCCTAGAAAAATAACAGTATTAGATAAAATGGATGAGTAACAGTGTGAAAATCCAGACAGGACAACCTAAAACCATCTGCTTGGAAATCCTATCTTAGCAGCGAAACAATCTGAAACTATGAAACAAGCCATCAAACTGACTTTAGGATGGATTTTTCTAAAAAGAGCATTTGAAATAGTAAGTGCAACAAATCTTTTCTTTTTTATTTATCACTGTGTATACTATCTACAGAATTTGAGTATTTTCTCTTATAATATTGCAATTAAAAGACAAGTTCATTTACAAACTTCTTGAAACATCATCTCTGCTGTAAAAAAAATAAAAAAAATAAATAAACACTGCTTTGCAACTAACATGGTCATTTCATAGTTTCAAACAACATGGTTTTTGTATTAAAAGTGGTGGCTGACACATGGAATAGCATTTATTTGGATATTTCCTTCATGGTGCACTGAAACTGAAAACTTGTTAGTCACAATGTAATCTGGACAGATCATAGTACACAAAATCAAAAAGATGAAAGAAACGAAAAGCCAGAAGAGAAATTAAGGCTATGTACAAAAGTAGCTCTCGTGTCTGAAAACTGTCACACTATAAAGAGTTCCTCATAGATGTGCACTAAGCCCCCATAAATTCAACAGCATCTTTGAAACTACACCAAACCTCTGCTATTTACAGTGCAGGAAACTCCTTCACACATTGTTGAAAAAATGTATCAGGAGAACATTATGATACATGATCTTAACAGGACTGCAAATGAAAAAATAACATGAAAACTTAAACTGTAGTCATAATTGAGAGCATGATTGCACACTTGATACCCTATTTTGAATGTCTGAGCTCATCTGAATATAAAAAAGTTGCCTATTAAAACAAAATGTGTGTGAGAGACGCAAGAACGGAGATGACTACAACATCTTTGGTTGCAGAAAAGTAAAGCAGCAAAACAGCCACAAGGTAACATTAAAAAAAGGTCAAAACAGAATGAGAATAATTAAACATTGAAGCCTTGAGACAGACACTATCTAGCCCTCACTGCTTTGAAAGGTGGGCGTTTAAACAGGAAGGCAAAAAAAGGTCCTTAAGAACCAGCAGCTTCTCTGATGTAACAGATAACTTGATGGGATGCAAAGAAGCCTGTTGCAATTTTCTTAGCATACAGTATACAAATCAAAGTCAATTATGAGAGAAATCAGGCAGTTTATCCACAGAAGGATTATTAAGGCTTCGCTTTTTTATTTTATGTTGTATTTTTTTGCTGAATTTTGGATCTCTCACACCATTCAGATTTGCAGTCTCACTAAGGCTGTAAGAATCGTCTGTAATGGCACTTCCATGGTCTTTTGAGCAGTCCTTTGTAAAAACTACTACTTAACATATCTACAGTTCTGGTGTCAATAAATGTACAGGTCAACTTTTATTTGGATGAACATGGTGACAAGAGCCTCGCTTTACTTGATGTGTTGACTGGTATCAGAACAATGCGACACTGATGCAGCAGCGAGCAGGATTAATATCTAAGTCAGTTTGATTGAGCTCTTTAAAAACAGTTCTGAAACAATACGAAGGCTGACAGACAACACAAGGCTTTGAATGGAAATTTACATGAAAGTAAAACAAAAGGAAACTTGATGCGGCCAAGAGAACAGCCTTAAGCCATTCGAAGAGAAAAACTAACATCTAAGTGAGGAGCTAAACTCTACAGCTAAAATCTAATCTAAGAATATTTCATCAAAAAGGCAAATCTTTTGAGCAACAAACAAAAAAAAAAAAAGACAAAAATAACTTTCTACAAACTAAAACTCACTGACAGAATCAAACTCAGGTGACAGCAGCATTAAAAATAAAGACTTATCGGTCCCTTTCCTACCAGATTAAATCACTCTGAGGGATTTTCTAAGCCTTCCATTACATTTCCCTCTTTGCTTTTACTAAATTACACTTTAATTTAGTAACTGCATTGCTATTTTTACACTTTATATCTAACTGCTTCGTTCTAAAGCACGTTCACCTTACCCCTGGGATAGAGGTTGAATTAGAAGACCCAATGGCAGCTGCAACAAAACCGCTTAAAACCACTTCTTAGAGATAGACATGGGCCGGAGAGGAAACTGGTGGCCTAAAACACAATGGACAGATACAATGGTTTCATAGATGTTAAAACTAGAATGTGAAAAAAAAGGAGAAGCACCAAGAAAATGGCTTTTACCAGAATTGGGTAACAGCATAAGTCTTCATTATACATGAAGTCAGTAGAAATGTTTTAGAAGCTGGGTTTCTACCAACTCATGCCTGCTATTCATTCAGGCAGCAACTGACTGAGAGCGGAGCAGAGAAAAAAAAAGGTTAAATGTTTTATATTAAAATGTTGCTAGCTAATGCTAGTGACCCATATCTCCATGGAGCATCCTGGATCTAAAAACGTTGGCAGTACTTCATCGGCTAGAATATTGATGAGTTTTGTAGCGATCATAATAAAAACCCACATTTATAGCCATTTTAGTAATGATGTACCCATATATGTTAGCAGAAACTTTTCCCTGTTAGTTTTTTTTTATATTTGAATTTAAAATTTACTATTCCAAATTAGTATAAATGCAGGATATTTCTCATACAAAAACCAAAGTACTAAAATACAATTTAGAGTTTAAAGTGGGGCGGCTAAAAAGAGGAAATGTTGGGCTAAGTTTGTTTTTTGGCTCTTTTAAAAGAAAGGTTGATGAGAGCCTGGCAAGCTAATGCTAAATTTGGAATCAACATAACATCTAAAACATATATATTAAAGAGAAGAAAGGAGGTGAAACAGGAATCCAGCCCATGCCTACTCATAGACAATATGATGTCTTTGCAATTTAATGCACCAGGACTGTCAAAATGAACACGTCATCTTGACCTTCCTTATAGCCCACAGATATTTGCCACTAAGCCTTCAAATATCGAGTCACTTTAGAGAACCCATTTTTGTAAGGTCAAGAATTTTAGTCCATTTTAGCTTGTCTTTAAAGACTAGATTAAATAATGTCTTCTTTTTTATAAATGTATGCTTCAATGATTTAAAACTCCAAAAAATAGAACTATGATACGAATATAAATATAAATAATCGATTGTCTTTTGTTCCGTTATGGTCTAAATAAACAAAAGCTATGAACAATTTTATTTTCATCCATTTTGAATAGAAATGCTTGCAGCAGTTCCAAGAAGAAGTAGCTTTAAACGGTTTACCTCCCACAGTTAGAATGCCTCCACACACATTAGACAAGCTTTTAAAATTGCTGCTGCTGCAAACAGAATGTCAAACAACAGACATGAGGAAATAAAAAGTTTGCATATTTTACAAAAAAAAAAATAAAAGACACATTGTGTTTCAACTTTTCTTTGAATCACTCTGAAACATCCAGAATGGATTTTTTTAAAATAAGAATTTGCAATACCACTTGCACAAAAATAATGCTCTGTGTTGTTTCTTCCTCTCGTTTCTTTTTTGACATTTTTTTTTTTAAACAACTCTGTTATTTATGTATTCTTTCCTTTTTCAGTGTTCAAAATAGTTCCAATCTTCTCTGAAGAACATTCCCACCTTTGGTTGGTCAACTCTTGAGGATGTGAGCTGAAGAGTCCGATGAAGTTAATTATTGTCCTTTCCTTAAAGAATAAAAACAAGAAGAAAATAACACCCCCTCCACCCCCTCATAAAAAAAAAAAAAAAAAAAAAAAAAAAAAGACGAAATCACAATCACAAGCCCAAAAAAAAATACTAACTGGCACACGCATGTTCCTTTTGTCATCCATGATCAAGTCCCCGGTTCTTGGTTATGGTAGAGATCTCTTTCAGCTTAATCCTGTTTTGGTTGGATTTGTTTCGTGCCCTGTGGCTTCTTCTCATTGGTGGGAGCTGGAAAAGGTACAATTCTGCATTGTTACACTGAAGGTGCACATTAATTAATATGCATAATTTAGACAATAAAAAAAATAAAGATGTAGGATAGGCATATTTAATGTTTAAGTCTTCGTAATCATAGCTTTTGTCCAAAAAATTTTTACACCAGAAAAAAATCAAAAAGTATTTTTTTTCATTTATTCTGATACCCAGAAATAAACCCCCTGAATTAGTAATATTAACACCAGGCTTGTTAGTCCTGGGCCCTTAAAATGTCTCTTTCTCACCTTAGCTTCACTTGGTGTGTTGATATGAGTAGTTTGAATGCTCTGCCGGATTCTCCATGGCCACCTGCTGCTGCTGACCACTGTTCTCCTGACAGGAAAACACAGGAGAAAGATAATAAGAAGAAAAACTTCAAAGCAAAAACCCTGAAAGGAGCTAAATTTAATCCTAAAGTAAATGTATTCTATTCTAATGAGTGGAGGATCGCTGATATACGCACTTAATACCAGGTAAATAGAAACAGTCCCGAAAAAAGCTTTGTTTATTTTTTTTTTTAGGTTTTTACAGCACTAGTGGCTTGTTTTTGTACAGTGGGCTGACAGGAAAGGGGGTACAAGGGGAGAGACATGCGGCAAAGGACCACAGGTCGGATTCAAACCCGGGTCAGCCACGTCGATGACAAAGGCCTCCATAAAAGGGTAAGCCATTGAGAAAATGATGAATTACTGTAGTTGCTAGAAACCAGATCATTCTTTGTTTGTAGTTTTCAATCATTTAAAGATGTTTATATAGGGTTTTTTTTAAAGATAAAAAGTAATTTTAAAGTAGTTATGTGATTGATTAGGTGGAAGGTGTTTTTTGTTTGCTATGTATGATCAGGTTAATTTAGTGAAATTGGTGTTTGGTTTGGCTGATGTTAACTAGTCTTTTTCTGTATTTGTTTGATTCATTTATTTATTGTTGTTTGTCAAATTGTGTCTTAAATTGTGTGAAATAAATTCCTATTCATTCATTCATTAAACCCAGGTGTAATAATGGTTAATAATGGCTGAATAAAAGTTATCTTATTAACATCTTTTATATAAAATCCAATATACTTCAGAGGTCATACAAAGAGAGAAATAAAAAAACAAAACCTTTATAATCTTTGGTGAAAAAGAGAGTTAAATATGTCGAAAACTTGAAAGCATTTCATATTTCCAAGGCAAAAGAAAATAATTGAATATGAAATTCCACTCCTCAATAATCGTTACTATATATTTTTATCATGCTTGTGTTTCCACTCATACACAGACACACAGACAGAGACAGATGTAAAAGTAGGAATTAAACCCGCAACTCCAGCCACAGTTTAAATGTGCCATGAGTTTTGTCTTATTTTTACATCTTAATGAAATTAAAACCGTAAATTTTGTGATGGAGATATGTACTTTTTTTGTTCTTCAAAGTCTTACTGTGGTTTTAACATTTTGTACTTTTATCTTTTATCATGAAAATGTACCTTAGTGTTCAATTTGAACATATAAGTTGTGATTTAGCTGCTACCTTGGCCAGGTCTTCTTTGTAAAATATATTTTAAATCTGGCTTCCTGGTTAAATACAAAAAAAAACAAAAAAAAACTTGGGATTATGTTTCTGACTAAGCAACATTTTCCCCTTAAAGAGCAAATTACAGGTTACATTCCTGACAAAATTCAAACTAAGTGATGTTTCATGGATCGTATTTGATTTGAAAAGTTTATGTAAGATTTAAAGTTTTTTGGCCACCATGATGAAGTAAATTTACCAGTAAAGTCTCTAAAAACAGCTTTTTTTAAAACAAGTCGCTACATTTGACTCCCTGACGTGATGTCAAATGTTTGGCGCTGCTTTAGCTCTTTGTGGAGATTAGGTACGTATTGGGAAGAGCGGACAAATAACTGAGTTTGATAGGAGTTAGAGATTGCATTTATTGATCATAAACATGGTCAAAAACTGCTGAAAATGAATGAAATCGAGATCCCACAGCTGTTCCAGTCCCAATGTAAATCTTACAGGAGCAGATGGCTAAGTAAACATGAGATCACTTGCTAGAGGCAGGCTGACTAGGATTAATATGAATGCTGGAGAAACTTTAAATAAAGGGAAGAAAACTGGATCTATTTTCTCTGGCAGCACTGCACCATGCACAGAAAGCAGCAGACATTTCACCTCCGGCAGCTGCTGTTTCTCACTGCTTACCTCCAGAGATTTTGTGCTGTGATCTGTTTTCAAACTATTAAAACAGATGATTGTGCAAAATCTCTTAGAATGACATCTGTGGATCAGAAAAATAGCAGGCTGCTACTGGAATAAATTATCACGGTGAAATTACCTCTGAAAACAAGCTGTTTTCAGGAGTTACTTTACTTTTCCAATACAGGAATGCATTAATTCTACCCCTAGTCTCTTGAGCAACAGGCTCATAACTATAGGAGATGTGGTCCATCATACGTGTAGTTCTGCACATTTAAAGTCTCTAAAGAATTAGCATTGGTATCCATTTTGTACTGCTGTGAAACTAAGCAGACTCCCCTACATTACATCACTTCCAGTGTCCTGTTTTAGATACAGAACTAAAAGTCACAAGAACAACATAAAATAGATCATACGTAAGTTTATTTTGATTCCAAACTCAAATGCTGACATATTTTTCTAAACACCGATAAAAGTAAGTCTCTAAACTGCAAATTACTCTTTAATTAACTGATTAGGGGATCAGGAATAATCATTGGCAGCTGCACAACTGAAAACCTTACTTAAGGTGTTTAACCTACTGATCAACAAATTTTACTTTCTATTCTTTGCTATTTGGACTCGACCACTATTAGAAACTTAAGGTTCTGTCATATAAAGTGTGAACTATTATTGGTGCACATCACAGATTTATACATGAGCAGGCAGTTGGAGGAGTCGCATACCTCTACTGGAACATTAGAGGGAGGCACTGGGGTGTACTGGGGGATGTAGGTCCCCTGCATAGTAGTGTTGGCTGGAATATACTGCAAGGAAAACATGGAGAACTGAATAAACATGGCTTTGGATTTCAGGAAGCCATATTGATGTGATAGTGATACTGACTGTGCCCGTGCTGCCCAGAGACAGGTGGCTTAGTTGCTGAGTGAGAGGCCCCATCATGGACGTGGGCTGGATGGACATGGCATGCTCCATTGTTGGGGTTAGCACTGTACCCTGTAAGGGAATGAAGAGGAAACACCTGATTAATCTCTGACAGTTTTAGCAAAACGCACAGCAGGCTTTCTTAATCAGTCGACTAAAAATGCAAAATTTATAAAGAGCTGCTGTCCATATTCAACAACCCATGGTCCTCGACGGGGCCGTCGCATGTCTTCTCCCTTTCCACACTCCCTTTTCCTGTCTACCTACTTTAAAAAATAACAGAAATAAAAGGCCAATAGAACCTAAAAATAATGTTGAAAAAAGTAAATATAATTAGAAATGAATTGGATATACAACACAAAATACTCGGATTAGATTTGATAGAGTTCACAGAAAAATCTGCAACTTGAATTTTTGTTTTGGATTATATATTAACTTCAAAGTAAGATTTTATTCATTCAGCTTTTTCCTCCTAACTTTCAGGTCCCCATCTCTGTTACACTGTATTAAGCAATAAAATAGTTTTCTGAACAACAAAGATGCTCTTGATGATAATGAATGAAACTTCCATGAACTTAAGACATAGCAGTGCCACAGAGCAACAGGGAACCAGGGCTTTCAGACTGAAACATCCTACTTTTAAGCTTCCAGACACCTGATATAGTTCTGTCTTTTGTCTCTTTCTGGTGGCATATTCTCTCCATCTTCAGTAAAAGCATCACTACATTTAGCATCTAACACCAATCAATTCCTTAGATACATTCTTAGGCACTATTCCTGCCATCAATCACACTTAACCTTGACAATGTACTTCCAAAAAAACGTTGCTCATCTATGTAAATAGTTGGATTCAGGTGTATAAAATGCAACACCAGGGCTGATTAGCTGGGTCGATTTCAAGAGCTTGGTAAATTTCACAAGAGGATGCCACCTGTGCAAGAAGTACTGTTGAGAACTAACCTCGCTTCTACATATTCTATAAGAAACATAAAAAAAACGTGGATGTAGTTAGAGGAACTTTCCAATAGGATATTTAGCTTAAGCTTGTGCCTTGCAGGAAGAGGGTCAAATCTTGACTCAGACTCCTTCTAAGCAGAGTTTGCTTGCTGTCTCCCTGCATGCGTGGATCAGGAGTGACTCTAACCTTCTTACGAACTAATATTATGCTGGAAATGTTGTGAATGTACATCTGTTGACCTGTAGGTGACTGAAAGGTAAAGGTAAAGGCCTGTAGGTACCTGAAACACTAAAGTCTAATGAGATGGCCTACATGCAACTGTAAGTTACACCCACACATATACAAGAACAGAGCTTTTGACTTGTTCCCACTGTTGTGACCACCACGCATTAAAACGACAGAGCAGTTTATTACGTGGTGTCTTTATCGGCTCTTCCTTTGAAATAAGGAAGTAAACTAAATTAGAGCGCTAGTAAACCAGAAGTCTTAGTATAAGTTAACTATTCCCTTTTCTATGGGTGCTGTATTTATGCTGGTGGCAGGCGGAAGCAAAATTCTGACTTCTGTGAGATACTCACAGCTGGCTGCATGAGGTATGACTGGTGGTGCATCCAGGACGGACTGTGTACCTGTAAATAAAATAAACAATTATAAATCTAATTTGTTCACCCTTGACATTTTAATGGCCACTAAAAAGTTGGAGAAAAGATTTAGAAGGAAGGCAAGAACCAGAGGAAATGCAGGTCTATCCTCCCTAATAATGCAAATGTAATGAGGGGTTAAGCTCAGACATGAAATCATTCTTATTTAAGTAGATTAAAAAAGACTGTGATGCTGAAAACAATAATTATCTTGTAATGTCTCACCTGGTAGGAGGAGACAGGAGAATGCATGTAGGGTGAGAGGGACGTCTGAGCGATCATTCTGTTTGGAGCCAGACTGTAAGGTGAGGAGTAGAAACTGTGGCAACAGACAGAACACAGTGAGAACGGCCTCCCCAAGTAAACAATGCACAGGATGTCTACAGGAAAATCAGCAATGTTGCTGAGCTGACCAGCAGAGGGCGACCTTTCACAATGTATTTTTTTATTTGCAGTGTTTATTTTACTGTAGGGCTGGGGCTGTTTTCTGTCACTCCATGCATAGCACTCACTCACCCATTCTGTAAGGCTGTTGGGTCATACGCTAGCGTCATCCCTCCCTGGGAAAACAACACAGGATTCAGAACCAGTGAGGTCATGCAAACACCGGCGCGAAACAGCATGTATTCGAAAACAGCCCGCTAGCACAGAAAGTTTCAGGAAAAAAAACATCTAAAAACTTTTTTAACAAATAAAATGTGCCTGTAGGTTCCTCATGAGACACATGATTAAAGCGTAGTTACCGTATCTCCGTCTCGAGCCCAGGGTCTTCCATTCTGGAGATACTTCCCCTGACTCTGCCTCTTCTTCTGACCCCCGTCTGCAAACTTGCATAATAAGGGCTCTGTGGGTGCTGAGAAAGCAACAGATCAAACAAGTAAGTGATCACAGCAGGGAACAAAAACACAACAACATCACAACTATAGTACAAAGACTAGCCTCCACTTACCGAGCACCCCTGGAGGAGTCTTGATGAATTTGCCATTAAAATGCTGAATTATGGCCTCACATTTCTCTGTGGACTCCATTCTAAAACACAAAGTTTAACTCAGTTCCCACTGCAGAAGTCTCCTTACATTACATGTTTGATGGATTTAGCAGCATTAGATTATAATGTACACTAAAAAGTCTCACCTTGCAAATCCCACACCACGGCTAGTCCCGTTGGCATCCCGCAGGATGCGTGTAGAAATGACCTGGCCAAAAGACTTTAGCATGTTCTCCAGCTCCTGCTCATCCATGGACACCGGCAGGTTGGAGATGTACAGGTTGGTGGGGTCCTGCTCTTGTTGCTGCGGAGCAGACAGAACAGTTTGTTTATAAGCCATTTTAATTCAACATGAATTTATGGTCAAAGATCTGCTTTTTATTAACCTGATTTGTGCAGAAGGAGAAAGAATGTCTCACTGCAAAACTTAGTGTGTCAAAATGATTCAGACATCCATAAACATTCACTTTTTGTGTACAAACACAAACTTCAATGTATTTTATGGAGAATTTATGTGACAAACTATCATAAAATAGAATTTATTTTAAAACAAAAAGTAAAGGTTTTCATTTTTTTCCCCACAAATAATAATCTTAAAAATGCTAAATCTGTATTCTGCCACCCTTAGTTAAGAGTTAGCAGAACCACTTTTCACTGCAGTTACAGCACCAGGTCTTTAGCAGCTTTTAACTTCTATCATTAGCTCAGTACTTTGACTGGACCATTTTAACACATAAATATGCTTTGAGGCGAGGTATTCATTGGAGCTCTAGCTGCATATTTAGGGCTGTTGTCCTCTTGGAAGGTGAACCTAATACCCAGTTCTCTAATAGGTTTTTCTTTTAGGGTATAAGTCTCCACCCATCTCTACATCAACTCTAAAGAGCTTTAGCAGATTGGTTTCCATCCAGATGTGAATTTTAAGCAAACATTTAAAATGTTGAAAAAATAAAATCTGAATTAGATGCGTTTACACCCCTTGGAGCAAGTAAATGATGCGATGTTTATGTCACGCTTTGCTCAAATGATCAGGAAATGGAGGTAGAAAATTAGTGCAGACCACAGATCAGTAATGGATTTAATGAATTCTTTACAATTAGGCAAGCTGCACTTTATCATGTCAGCTAGTATTAGCAACCTTAATTGCATGCAATCCGGAACCATAGGGAGAGATATGACGTCAGTGACAGAAACAGCTGATCTGTCCTGTGAGGTTAACATTTTCTATGTCAGAACTTATTCAACAAATGTGTTTCCATTTCCTCTTATGTGCATTTACTTTTTTTTTTAAGTAAAACAGAATAGAAAATGTAAACTTTTGTAAGGTGATTGGAGGTTTTGCTGTTTCCAACAAGCTCTTCTAATGCGATACTTCAAAATGAATGAAAAAAACAACAGGATAAAAGGATAAAACCTTATGTTCCAGTGAAAAAACTGCATCCCCATAGCATAATGCTGCCAGTACCATGGTTCATAGTGTGAACCATGCATACAGAATTACGTGCAGTGCTACATATATAGTGCCATGGACTCTATTTATTAAATGAGTGACTCCTAAAGGAAACTGGTTCATTGCTCTTTTCATCTATCATTTGAAATTCCAATAAACATAACTTAAGTGCATGGCTGTTATGCAACAGACTGAAATTTCTGTAACGTCTCCGTGAAGATTCCTGTCCAGGCAGCTGCTGGATCTTTCTTTTCATTAAATTCTATACTTCCTGCATTACATTTTTGCCAGAGTGCTGCTCCTTATTACTGCTATCAGTTGGCTTTAAATAAGTTTAACCTAATCAATATAATTGAAAACAACATAATTTGACACTGCTTGTTGATAGTCACTGCTACATCCTGCTGCACACTGAATAACATTCACAGATACTAAGAAAAAAAAGTTTTTTCATATTATCTGTGAATGTTTCTTGGTCTAATTTTGTTTAAATGGGGATATCTTGAAGGCGGTAAATAAATCAAGCAGAGAGGTTATTCAGAGGCCTTTTTTTTAATGCCTTAGAAGTGTGTTTGTGTGAGTGTGCAGAAGCCCACAGGAAGCCAGGCATGAAGTTTAAGAGTTCACAGAGCAACAGGAGCCTGGCAACCAGGAGAAAGGAGGCTGGACTAAACAGACAGGAAGGGAAAACAGAGAGTGAAAGAAGAGGATAGGGCAGAGAGGGTGTGGGAGGAATTAGCAGCTCAAAAGGCTGATATTTTGTACGGAAGAGACGACTATAAGAAAGGGATATAGCCAATGTCTGATTTGATGTTGGTCATTAAAACTATTGAGTGACATAAAAGAGCAAAACAGGAAGGGAAGACAGATTTGCTTTAACTAATCAGCAGGGTCCTGCCTTTGATCTAAATCTAATATATTACCAACATCCACGTCTCCTCTCCCTGCTGCTAACTGATATATGATTACCAAGCCACCACTAATATTAGAGGCTTCATTGTGAAATGGGCAAACTGTCAGAGATACAGCTGAAAATCATGTGAACTGGAACCTTGTGTGGAGCAAACAGGAGAGAACACGCAGCATCCTCCACCGGCACACGTTGAAAGTTGAAAGAGGTGTGAAATGACGCTGCAAAAATTCCTGAGAGTATTTATGGCATTAAAGCATTGCAGCAGCAAAGAGGATGTAACCTGTTTTCACTTACTGTAGTCAATCTGAATGCTTGTTATATAAGAGGCATACAGAAGACGGCCTGAGCTTAAGTGAAACTTTTATTTACTGTCCCCCAACCTTAAGTAAAAAGCAAAGGCTCGTTGGAGATCACACACAAATCCATCCTTGCTGATTGTCATTCCAGGCCGTATCTCAGCCACATCTGTAATAGGTGTGCCTCTGTGGAGACAGATTTGCTTGCTTGTGTGTAGAGCAGCATGTGTGACGTCTGAGTTTGACACGGGAGGTAAGAATGGATCTATTTATAACCTCACCATTGTTCTGCTGCCCCAACACATGCAGCTCCGCCGGGCTTGCGGCTGTGGGTCCCGCGTGGCTTGTTCAGGAACTGAGCGTACTCAGAGGACAGTGACTGTAAGGTGTGGTTTACCGTGTTTGTGAACCGCACAGCTCAGCAACTATGGTGAAGGTCTATGAAAGTCAGGCTGAACTGGATTTCAGGGATGTCCTGATAAGAGTCATGTAAGGATAAGCATTTACTGTTTGAGAGTTCAACTCATATTCTCCATTGAAACCAATGCACAGTTGTGTTTTATAATGTTGTGTTTTCATCAGGTCATCATAAAAAATCAAATTTCATGTTTGAAGTCAGATCAGTACATTCTCCCTTAAAAGTGATCAAAAAACAACATTGGATTGATAGCAGTTTTCTCTTTCAACCACAGTAACCCAGTGACACCAAGCAGCTGTTTATATTTAGGTTTATAGAGTAGTTATCAACACGTCTGACAGGGCACATGCTGTCTGGGTGAGTCAAGTTTTGGTGTCCCGTTGCACTTGTCGTGTGTTAAGATATACTGGATTGTGTGGCACTCTTGTAGGGGAGCTGCAGCAAACTTAAGACACTAGATCTGGTTGCGGTGTACTGGTTCAGGTCAGCTTGCCACATTGATCTCTGACAGTTTTCCAGAGTTAGGCTGAGGGAGACCCTGGTGTTGCATTGCAGTGGGTTATGTTTGGGGTTCTGGAAAGGAGACGGGGCTGGGACGCCAACCAGGATGAAGTGTATTAAGTGGTGGTGTCAGCCACCAGCTTTGGCCTGCACGATGGACAATGCTGGGTCTTTGTGCTTGTCCCATTGACAGTGGGTGTAGTGGCACCCTCCCTAGGGTTTCTTCAAAGGGGAGAATGAGCCAGAGAGATCAGCTTAATGGGCCGACAAGAGTTGCTTTGACTGCAGACACTTTGACAAAGAGCTCAGAACAAGCACTACAACTGGAGCAGGTTAGTAAGGCTGGAAGGGGGAGCATTAGGGGGAGAGAGGAAAGGAAGAGAGGAGGACGGAGACAGACTACACAAGGATGGAAGTTGTGCTTAAAATACAAATAAAAAAATCACCCATGAAAATAAATAGAAGTCGGTTAGGTGAACACTGAGCATTGGCCTGTTTGGGAATCAGTAAAGTGGAACAGACTTACCCCGAACCCTAATTTTGTTCTGTGTTGCCTGAGAAATTTTGTTTAAAAGCTCTGAAAATAAACTGTTTGTTTTCATCTGTGTTTTAGAACAATAAAAGTGAAAAAAAATCTAAGATTAATGGGCTAAGAACTTAGAATATTACTTTACCCAAATTTATTTTTAGATATATACATCTAAGTACAGATTTGAGATCAAATTTACGGTAGATTTAGGCCTAATTAAAAATACTGCTGGGAAGATTTAACTGATAAGAACTACTGAGGTCTTTTTTTACGGACTAATATCTAAGGTTAATCAGATTATATCCTGATGACAATGTGGAAACCGAAGGGGGCCAATCAAACACCCTGGTGCAAGGGGACTACCAGGAATTTTGGGCGCCATGGAAGACATTGATATAAAGATGCAATTAAGTGTATCATTTACATTCAATATCAATGTAATTTTTTATGTAATATTACTACAAAGGAAAATGATCAGAACCTGAAAAAGTTAAATATACATTAGCTTTAAACTTTACATGCTATCAAAATAATAACAGCTTATTTAAACAAAAAATACAACTGTATCTATGTAAACATAAATAGAAAAGAGGTTTAGGATTGTGAAAATATATACCTACTAGGTTTCACTATAACTTTATTAAAGGACATGTTATTTTTATGCTGGCTCTGAGAAATTATTTTTTATTCATCTGTACTTTTAAGGACAAAACATGCATTTTTTTATGTGGCTTCAGGCTGTTAATGAGAATTAGTTAAGATTTATAGATTTCTTGTAATGGTTGTATTTTAATCTGAATAAAAAAACCTAACTAAACTATTTTAATATGGACACAGATTTTGATACAGGCTGCTGGAGGCTACCCAATTAACTGCAACTGTCCAGGATACAGTATAAAAAACTAGAGGCCATTTCATTTTATAGTTATCATCATTAAAAAAATAATGTGGGGTGGGGGGGTTAAAGAAACTGGTGGTAGATCATCTGTTTACATGATGAAGGAGGGACAAAGACAGTTATTTATTGTGAATATCCTGCTAAATATCTACTAGCGTTTAGCTGATGTTAACCCTCTGATGACCATAGTGTTTTCCTGTTGCCTAGTCTGGTTGGTAAAGGTCAATTCAGCTCTGTGAGCTTTCTGGCTTAGTTGTTTAGCCTCTCTGATATTTACAGACACACAATAGGGTCATTTAATGCTGAATTAATCCCTGAAAACTAAAAACGAAACACAACTAAGTCATAAAAAACTTGCAATCATGCTCCGTTTCAGACAGCACCCAGCTGGTCTGCATCATTCATGATTTGATTTCGTTATCACTATGTCAAATGACATCCGTGTGGGATTGTAGCCCCAGTACGAGCGCACCTCCGGTGACAAATGGGGAGACCTGATGCAATGCAGGACCTGAGGACCAAACCATTTATTGCAATTTCCCAGGAGAGGGTGTGTCAATATATTTCACTGTTTACTGCTGAAAAATGATGGAAAACATGACTATTATTTTTTATTTTACTACTGGATTTTTTTTTTTTTATACTTGAAAAATATAGTGGGACAAATCTTTTCTTCTTTTTTGGGCCCCCAGGAGTCAAGGGCCCTTAAAATCATCCTAGCCTCCCTCCTCAACCATTGGAAAGAGGTCTAAATGGAGAAACAGGTTATGCCAGGTTCACACAAAAAAATAATCATACCAATTTTTCCACAATCTTTCCCTTCACTAATGTGTTGGAATGATCTGGTCTGCTCTGAAGTCACTGTTCGTCCTGAACAGTGACTTCGATTGAGATGTGTTTCACTAAAGTCAACCAAGTCTCGAGTGATTCTTACTTTGGCCATCTGAGCCTGGACCCCGCTGGATTTCAGAGCTGTGACAGCCTTTTGAGCAGCAGCTGGACTGTCAAAGTCCACAAAACCATACCCTGCAAATAAGAGCAGATTGTGTTAAATGTGCTGTGATAAATAATCTTTATTCCAGTTGGATAAAAATTTAAAAAATCAATTAAAAGCATTGATAGAACAAACTATACACTACTGTGCAAAGGTTTTTTTTCTTTGCTTCCAGATGGGCAGTGTTTTAGTTTTGTTTTGTTTTTTCAAAATTGTCTTTATGAATAGATCCTCAATAAATTACATATAAAAATTCATTAAAAGTATATTTAAGTGTTTCTAAGGAAGATTACAAGGCAGTCAGGCTCGCTGTCAGTATAATGAGGTATGCTCTACAATTTTGAAAAGTACTGTAAATATTAGACAAATTAAGGAAAGGGATAACAAGCATTAATTGAAAATAGTTATTAAATAAATTGAAACATGGTTCACCTTTACACTTGTTGGTAGTTTTGTCCAAAATGGCCTTAGTGGACACGATTTTTCCATACCTTCAGGGACAAAAGAACACAGAATCAGTGACAGCTGAGGTGACTCAGAGACACAGACAGGAATCTGCTCCTACAACATGCATACCAACATTTCCACATTTCCTCAGGGTGCCAGACTACAGACGTTCACATGAATGCATACTCTGTCCTTCCTGTGAGCAACTCGGTCTCATAAACTTAATCTTAAGGGTTTACAGAAAACTTTCTGTGCCCCCGCCCCTCTGTCTCTGTCCCCTCTTGGGGACTGTACAGTAACTCTATTCCTAGAAGCTGTTCTTGAAAGACAGGAGACAGGGCCTGAGGGACTAAAACTATTTGTTGCAAAACTGTCTTCACCAAGGAAATAAAACAGGATCACACCCAAAACGCCTGGGTTTGAAATCCAGATCTGCCTTTGGGATATTTATGGCCTAAATAATGCTTAGAAGTCTTAGGTGGTAAAAACATGTTTTCTTTCTATTCTGAATTTATCTATGAAGGAACAGAGGAATGGGGCACATCAGACAACCTATTATCCTGTTCTTTGTTTATCCGCTGTGGTTGTCAACAAAAACAAAAAATAAAGGCCAGTCCCTAAAGCAGTGGAGTCAGTTACTGCATTAATGCAGTCTCATGAATATTCATGGTTTAAAAATTAGCTTAAAAGCAGACAGCTATGGGCGTTACATGCAGCTCGTTGGAATGCAGTGTTATAGGAGAGTCGGTCAGCTCCACATTAGACCTTACTTTGCCTTTAGCCTGTGAGGGAGGCCGGTGTTCCTACGTTCGGGCGACATAGCGTCTGGCTGGAATGTACAGTGAAACCTGATGCTTCACCCCTCCAGTTTGCTTTCCTTTCCTCTATACCCCCTCCCTCGTGCTGTTTTTCCACCCTCATGTTACAGCTGCTGGGTCCTACACTCCCATCCCTTTGCAGCAGACATTTAACCAGCTGACTCAGACCAGGCTAGACAGCTATAACCTCTGTCACAACAAATGTCACCTGGTTTTAAATGTAAACTGCTAGGGATAGAGAATTTCCCTCCAGATAACTTGGATAGACACCTATAAAAAACGAAAGACATCTAAAAACAATGCATATAAGCTTCTATTTGCATTCACTAAACTAACATTTATTTGTATAACAGCTGATTGAAGTTGAAATAATGGGAGTGGGAGAGGATGAAAAGCATCTACCGCTGCAATTGCATAAGCCTTAGTTTAGAGTTTATTCGCTCAGGGGTAACAAAGTTATGACTATTAAAGTTATTTTGGGAAAACCTGTCAATAGTTGTATGTTTAAAAAAATCATCCCCAACATTTACTCTTATCTTAATACGATGGCAATTGGACTGATGGGGCAGACAAAACACAAATGACGTGACTGGAGCAGGTGATCTAAATGTTAAACGAAGAGTGTTCAGGAGCAAAGTGATGCATAAGGGACACTAAGGACGCGGTCTAGCGAATGAAGCAGCGCAATTATAGTGAATAGATGGAAGCCCGTGCAAAAGTTAAGTCTGTGATGAAAGCAAACAAATTTTACTGAGTTTTTTTTTATCAAAATGGAAGATAGAAAAGAAAAATGCTGACACAGGATGAAGGAACGCTCTTATATGTTTGTGGGTGGCTTTTAAAAATGCATTTTTTTCAGTCCTTAGAAGGACTGTTAAATCACTCATTAATTGTTCTCCTCTTGTAGCTCCAGAGCGGGTCCCATCTTGCCGTAGCCTTTACTGCTCTCTCTGTCTGTTTATTTTGCTCGGATTGAAGTATTAGAGAGTTACCCATGTGAATAGCAAGGTTTTAAAAAGTTACATGGGTCGAGCTGTAAAAGTTAGCTAGTCCTATCCATTTGGCTCCCCATGTCACCGCTTGTAGTTGTAATGTGCTGTAATATATTGCCTGCATATAACCATAAAGTTATATGCTATCAGGGTAATAAACAGAACTTAAATTAGGATTTGATATCTGGTTTTAGATTGACCGGTAAAAACTATTGCTCTATATCTATTTATAGATGTCTACAGTGAGAAAAATAGTTTATTTTTATCACAGTGATATAGCCTGTCATATCAAACAATGTTGTTTCCACTCTGCTCCAATGTAAACAATACAGCTCTACAATTCCTATCTTCATGCTGTTAAAAATAATTGTTAAAAGAAAGAAAGAAAGCTTTGTTTGTGTGACAGTTTAACGCATGTACTGAAACCTAAAATTAGAACTAGATAAAGTCAAGTTTGAGTAAAAGAATGACATTGCAAGTGTGCCCTATATTGTGTCATTAAGGGGAGCCATTGCTTTGCATATGTGTGTATTAAGAATATAGGAAGATACAGTAACTCCAAATTGCACACGTTTCTACATTCAATACACTTTAATATTTACACACAAAAAAACAAGAAAATATAGTCTTCTCACTTTATAGGGGATTTAAATCAAAACTGAATTACTGAAAGGATCTATTCACACAATTTTTTCTCTATATGAATTATTATGGCCTTAAGAAGCAAACATAGAATATACTATTTGATATTTAAATATTTTTTTTGCTAGGGTCAACTCACAGTTCTAAAATATAAAAAAATTACAGAATCATTTGGACCTAATTGTATTAATGTTACCTTCTGTTGCAGCTATAATACACATACAACCTGAAAATAGAACCTGCATTAAGGCAACAAGGGTGATAGGCTTTTCACCTAAAATATGCCATTGGTACAGCAGTAAAATTCATTCCCTTACATATTTTTGTTATATATTTATCACAAGTAGATGTTTCAGGGCATATACACTTTAATGTTAGTAATAAAAACCCTTATTATACCACAAAACTAATCATTACTTGTATCAGATGCTCAGTCAGGCTCTGCAATTTAGCCAAAAATCTAAACTGAATTTTTTTTTCAACAAAATTATGATTGTATTTTGAATGTATTTTGTGTAATAGCCTTCAATGGTTTCTTGTCCAGAGTCGACTATCTCAGGATTTTACTACTTCCTTGAAGCGTACATGCATGGATCTGCAAGCTACCTGAACCTTTCCCCTTCTGTCTGGCAGCAGTTCAGCTGAAGGCATACTACCCTAAAGGGCTAGATGGAGAAAATTTGTGTCTTCCTCCCATTGAATGTTATGTTGCTACAAATAGCAATAAAGCATTTGCATTTTCTAAATCTGTTATTATATGGTAAATGTAATTTATTGTTTAAGTGGCCAAACCAAAATACCTGCATCTGAAAACTTGTGCTCTTTTTAAATCCCCACACCCTGACCTAAATTCTGTAAGACCTGCATCGTAAAACATCACTGCCTAACAACACCAATGTATGTGAAAGATCTTTAATAGCAGCACCACATGCCCCAATATAAAGGAATTCAAGAAAAAAATGTGCAACACAGGGAAGAGCTATACACTAATAAAGCTCTGGGAAATACAATTAAAAACCTTTTATCCATAAATCACAGGTGGGAAAAATTAGTCAATCTGCACTTTAATCTACTGTGCAGATAGGACTCCCCTGGGTCAGAGGCCGAGAGAATGAAGACACGGCATGGAGATAACTTGTTGACTCCACATCTCCGACCTCTGCCATAAATCAAGATATAAACAAGCAAAAGTGGTGAAGCCACCAAGGAGCGGCCTTTATACCAAATTTACCCCAAAGCAACGAGTCAATGACCCGTTCAGAAAGTTTTGAGTCAATCCAGAGCAACATCTGAATGACAGTAGGCCTTCAGGACTATGAGACTTGGATTTGATTAAAAATAAAGAGTTTATATGAAAAAAAAAAACACTAATGACAACTTACAGGTAAAAGGCAGCACTAAAATGAGCCAAAATATATCTTGATGTTCTCCGAGTCTTCAGGAAAAAGCTTTCCTGGAAGGTTTGTACCCCGGCATCACACTGACAGTGAAACACGGCAAGGGTAAAGGGATGATCTGGTGCTCTAAAAAGAACACGACACAAATTCCTGATGGATAATATCTGGCAAGAGGTTTGGAACCTGAAGCAAAAGAACAAATTGGTTTGAGCAGGAGGAGAATGATCTTAAACACCTGAACCACCATTGTTCCCTGTTTTTTTATATTTCTATGCTTTCATGTATTGTTCACTTTTCCCCATTCATGAGATGTTTCATTTAGTATATTCTGTTGATTTGAACAAATTGTACCCTTTTGCTCATTGTTAAGTAGCTAAAAAATAAAACAAAAAAAATTGAAAGAAATTATGTTAAGGTTACTGAAGCGGTCTAGCTAAGGCGTGGCCTGAAAATGAATGGATGAATGAATGAATGACTATTTCAGGCAATCTAGCTAAATGACAAATTCAACACATACAAACATGAATAAAAATTAATGATATTAAAATATATGTGTTTTTTAGTGCTTATGTTTGTCATGGAGTATGAGGTAGTGAAACTTGTTAAATCATACCCCTCCTCCTTCCTATAGTCCTTATTAACAACATCCTTTTCAGTTCCTATTACTTACTAAATAGGCCATTCATGGTTAAAACACAGCCTCCAGTGAGGCAGAATTAAAGCAAATCTGAGCAAGGCAAAATTCTCCAGATATACATGCAAAAAAAAAAAAAAAACCCATGACAGCTAATCTTGACCAAGTGGTTTGTCCCAAGAACGGGGGAATCAGATATTAGATAAAGGACCAAGTTGGTTTATGATAAATTCCTCCTCTCACCAAAAACAACCCATCATCTGAAGAGTTTTGTATTTTTCTTTTTATTTCATTAAGTCTAATATTGTTTATCATTGTTGTATCAATGGGCTGCACAGTGGGCATTGGGTTCTCTTCAAGTACTCTGGCTTCTTCCCACAGTCCAAAAACATGACTGTTAGGTTGGCTTCTCTAAATTCTCAATAGGTGTAAGTGTGTGCGTGAATGGTTGTTTGTCTCCGTGTTGCCCTGCGATGAACTGGCGATCTGTCCAGGGTCTACCCCGCCTCCCGCCCATAGACAGCTGGAGATAGGCACCAGCCCCGCTTGGGATCGGCTTGA